GTCCTGGTTTAGTTCTGGTTTTAGTCCTGGTTTAGACCTGGTTTAGACCTGGTTTAGTCCTGGTTCAGTTCTTGATCAGTTCTGGTTTAGACCTGGTTTAGTCCTGGTTTAGTTCTGGTTTAGACCTGGTTTAGACCTGGTTTAGTCCTGGTTCAGTTCTTGATCAGTTCTGGTTTAGACCTGGTTTAGTCCTGGTTTAGTTCTGGTTTAGACCTAGTTTAGACCTGGTTTAGTCCTGGTTTAGTTCTGTTTTAGTTTTGTTTTAGTCTTGTTTTAGTTTTGTTTTAGTCTTGTTTTAGTTTTGTTTTAGTTTTGTTTTAGTCTTGTTTTAGTCTTGTTTTAGTCCTGTTTTAGTTCTGGTTTAGTCCTGGTCCTGGTCCATGTACATACACTCTTTTCATTTTTATGCAAACAAAACATCACTTACAAAACTCACAAAAGAAATACGAGTAGCATCATACAATATAATAATAATAGAATAATAAATATACTACTACTATTATTAAAAAAATTAATAATAATAATAAAATAATAATAATAATAATAATAATAATAATAATAAGATAACAAAAAAAAAAAAAGTAGGAGGTTGTTTTAGCCTGATTCATCAGCTGGTTTTACTTCATTTCACTTCATAGAAACCGTCTGACCTTGCAGCATTAGAATTCGTTCGCTCAACAGTAGGCGGGTACTTTTTATCATTTAACCAATTGCTGCTATTTGGTGGTGACATCTGTAATGTGCCACTAACAGGGCTAACGGGTATATTAAGCTTTTCCAAAATCCCGTAGGAAGAAGGGCAATAACGTCTTACCCCTTGAAATTCACAAAACATTGTCTTTATTCTGGCTTTAAATCCTCGATCTCGGGAATCGTTGACAGCACAGAATATATGGCTCTTTTTTGATTGACTGGGGCCCGAACTTGCACTTCTGGGGTTTTTGCGAACCGTCTAGTGTATTTTGATTCCTGACTTAGTCGCTGAAGTGAAATGAAATTGAGTGGAGGCACTAGGTGGCAAGGGTTGTTTCAAAAAATTCAGTAATCTAAAAAAATTTTTTGTGTTACCTTTCTTGGAGTACCTAATCTTGTAAACTTTCTAAATGACATAACTTCATGAATCCATTCAATGCTGGATGGGGCATTTGTTGATTTACAATGTAAGAGGAGATGGCGTCTTGCAACAGAAGTAAACACCAAAACCTGTAGCTGTGAAGTTGAATAGCCAGAGAAGTTTTCTGGGAGACCAAAGATACAGAGAAACATTAATTACAGCAGTGTTTCTATTGGTCCTAGAGCAGAGACATGTCTGCACTCACCGCACAAGTGCAAAAAGCCTCATGTGCACGGTGCCCGCTGTGTGCACGCTCATAGAAAATAATGGAGGTGTCAAAGTGTCTCAGTGTGCTCTCACCTTAAGAGAGAGAGACAGTTTAAACACAGATTGGCAGCCACACTTCTAAAGCTATTAAAGCCCGTTCAGACCGAGGCATCAAAGCGTCCAGTTTATACGCAATGTCTATGTGAACGAGCGTCTGGGGCGTCCTGCGTTTTTGCGGCGTGTCTTCGGGCGTCAGCACGGAGAAAATCTACCATCAACCAATCAGGGGCGACTATCCAGAGATTTAGTGACTTTATTAACGGGAAGAAAGAGAAAGACCCAAGAACCAGGGCGAGGGGCCACAAACATTAGCGGAGTGTAAATATATACGCCGCAATCACCGAGCCGATCGCCAGGACTACACCAGGACCGGACAAGGACTAAACCAGGACTAGACTAGGACTGGACAGGACTGAACCAAGACTGGACCAGGACTAAACCAGGACTAGACTAGGACTGGACAGGACTGAACCAAGACTGGACCAGGACTAAACCAGGACTAGACTAGGACTGGACAGGACTGAACCAAGACTGGACCAGGACTAAACCAGGACTAGACTAGGACTGGACAGGACTGGACCAAGACTGGACCAGGACTACACCAGGACCGGACAAGGACTAAACCAGGACTAGACTAGGACTGGACAGGACTGGAACAAGACTGGACCAGGACTAAACCAGGACTAGACTAGGACTGGACAGGACTGAACCAAGACTGGACCAGGACTAAACCAGGACTAGACTAGGACTGGACAGGACTGAACCAAGACTAGACCAGGACTAAACCAGGACTAGACTAGGACTGGACAGGACTGAACCAAGACTGGACCAGGACTAAACCAGGACTAGACTAGGACTGGACAAGGACTAAACCAGGACTAGACTAGGACTGGACAGGACTGAACCAAGACTGGACCAGGACTAAACCAGGACTAGACTAGGACTGGACAGGACTGAACCAAGACTGGACCAGGACTAAACCAGGACTAGACTAGGACTGGACAGGACTGAACCAAGACTGGACCAGGACTAAACCAGGACTAGACTAGGACTGGACAGGCCTGAACCAAGACTAGACCAGGACCGGACCAGGACTGGACCAGGACTAACCCAGGATGAGACCAGGATAGGACCAGGACTGAACCAGGACTAGGCCAGGATCAAACCAGAAGTAAAGCAGGACTAAACCAGTGTCAGCGTGTCATTAGTGCAGTATAAATATGTACACGCTACAATCGACGAGCTGATGCCCAGGACTGGACCAGGACTAGACTAGGACTGATCCAGTGTCATTAGCGGAGTGTACATGTAAACACGCCGCAGCTGCTGAGCCAATCGATGGTTTCATGTAATAAATACACTAAAGTCACTCTCTCAGTCTGGTCTGACATCATTACAGGAAAAGATCAGGACCGGGCACTTGTTTCCAGGGCAACGGACGCGTTAAGTATTTTTATCCCATTCGTCCAGGCGTCCAAGACTCGTGTCGGGGGCGTCTGAACTCCAATGCAAAGGCGTCCAAATAGAGGCGTCTTTTTGTGGTCTGACCCTGGGCAGCTGTAACGACAAAATGATCTTAGCATCACTGTGGTGTAAATATTGGATGAATAACATGACTCACGTGAATGAATAAAATAACCAAACTGTAAATGGAGTGGTTAGAGCATAATTATTATTAAATGAGTGTTTACCTCTTTCTTTCCTTCTTCATGTTAAATAAAGGTAGTTTTTTGAGAAGTGATAAAATATCCTCTTCAAATTCTGAAAGGATTTTTGGATGAGAACCATTTAGAAGCGACTGCCAAGGACACATTTTTGTCAGAGCGAGAAAAGAGAAGAGCTACTCCTGTTTTTAATGAGGAAACAACATTATAACTGATCAGAAAATAAAGACACATTAAAATAACACAATCGTTGCCAAACTGTGGTACAGATTCTACTGGTGATACGTTAAATTTACAGTAATTGTATGCACTTTTTTGTTTAGTAGTTAGTAGCTGGTTTTATACAGTAATCTGTTGTGGACCTGGTTTAGATCTAGTGAGGGGTGTAGTGGGCGTGATACGAGGGGGTAGGTCCATCCACCCACTTCTCCTGACGTGAGGTATAAAAAATTACAAATATAAAATAGGTACAACTTAAATGTCAATCCAGAGCTGCTGGCAATGGAGAAAACAACCTGCACAGACTCATGATATCTGCAGTACTGTCCTACAGTGACCTGAGACATGAGGGACCAGGACTGAACCAGGATTAAACCAGGACTGAACCAGGACCGAGTGTCGGGACAGGCCTGTAGGTAGACCGTCGGGTAACTGCAGGAGAAAGGGCCGGCGCAGAGCTCCTCACCCCACGGGGCTCAGCACAGCCGGCGCCCCATCGCGCTTTGTGGACACCCTGCTCCACGGGCTCATGGTTCTCCCTCTCACTCTCAAGTCCAAGATTAGTCCTGGTTTAGACCGGGTTTAGACCTGGTTTAGACCTGGTTTAGACCTGGTTTAGTGCTGATTTAGTCCTGGTTTAGACCTGGTTTATTTCTGGTTTAGTTCTGGTTTAGTCCTGATTTAGTGCTGGTTTAGACCTGGTTTGGTCCTGGTTTAGTGCTGGTTTAGACCTGGTTTGGTCCTGGTTTAGTTCTGGTTTAGTCCTGGTTTAGTTCTGGTTTAGTTCTGGTTTATACCTGGTTTAGACCTGGTTTAGACCTGGTTTAGTCCTGGTTTAGACCTGGTTTGGTCCTGGTTTGGTCCTGGTTTGGTCCTGGTTTAGTCCTGGTTTAGTTCTGGTTTAGTCCTGGTTTAGTTCTGGTTTAGTTCTGGTTTAGTCCTGGTTTAGTTCTGGTTTAGACCTGGTTTAGACCTGGTTTAGTCCTGGTTTAGACCTGGTTTAGACCTGGTTTAGACCTGGTTTAATCCTGGTTCAGTTCTTGATCAGTTCTGGTTTAGACCTGGTTTAGTCCTGGTTTAGTTTTGTTTTAGTTTTGTTTTAGTCTTGTTTTAGTCCTGTTTTAGTTCTGGTTTAGTCCTGGTTTAGTTCTGGTTTAGTCCTGTTTTAGTTCTGGTTTAGTCCTGGTTTAGTGCTGTTTTAGTTTTGTTTTAGTCGTGTTTTAGTCTTGTTTTAGTCCTGTTTTAGTCCTGGTTCAGTCCTCGTTTAGTCCTGGACCCCCACTTAAAAAAATCTCCACTACACTCTTGGATCTAGTGTTACTTGGTTATGCAAATTGTATTGAACTGAATAAACATATTTACCTCATTTCTTTTCGGTGGTGGAGCCTCTGGTGGTGATATATGAAAATACAACAGGGGGCGGGTCGGCGGGATGTTGCTTTAAGTCGTCTGTTGTCCCCGTGTGGCGTTCATGTGCACTTGTGCGGGCCATGTTATTATCAAGGTTATTAAATTATGGAGCCTTCAGAGCCCCGAGTGCCGTCAGAAATATGAGCTTCTATTTTTAGCCCAATCCAATTTGAAGCATAAACATGTTTTGATTTGTTTAAAAAGAGCAGGGAAAATGAATGCACTCCGAGGACATACTGTTGACTCAAATGACCCCAAGTGATGTTTTAGCGTAATGGTTTTTGATGGGGAAACGTTTAAAATCTAATCTAATTTGTTTTCTGCAGGAGAATGACTATCTACAAGAGTGCCTTGAAGTGGTCCAGCAAGAATTTATGATCTTCAACCGAGAAAAGTAAGACAACGTCAAGTAGTGATAAAAAATGAGTCTCTGTTAGTATTGTACCATCCTGATAACTGTAATCATATTTTTCTTCAGAAATTAAACCTATCCATCTTCACCTCCAGCAATTTATTCAACAGCATTTTTCTCTGCAAAAATGTGCATGCCTCTCCGCAGATATGAACAGTAACTGAGCCCTGAGACACCACCTGCTTGTCTCTATTTAGAAAAAGTTGAATGCTATAGGCGAGTTTCAGCTGATGTCATTGTTATTAAAAGCCCGCTTTGCATGCTGGGAAATATTTTGGTCGGAGGCAAGAAACAGGATAGCGTCAAACACAGTGCGTAACCTCGCGTATTTATCCCCGATAATGGTAAATTCCTGCTGCATTATCGGATGCACAAATAGAAGCACGGAAGAAGGAAAATGTCTTTTTCGTATTCTGAGTGAAAAGAACCGCTAACGGTGAATTAAACGGCTTTCAAACATCCGCAGAGCAAACGAAGAAGATCCTAGCAAACCGTGGACTCCAACAAGTTCAACAACACATCGAGACTCTTGTAGACTTTCATCTTTTCTGCTGTGAATGGCCCAGGAGTTTCCACCAAGTCATTGTGGATATCGCCGAAGTGAATATTTGTCCAGGTAGTTGGCGATTCTGACCAGAAATTTGGTTTGGTCCACCTTTTGTCGGGGTTGAAAAGGGTGATTTGTCATCAATCGATGCTTGTGACCAATTTCTGGTCAAATCGTCTTGGGTCCTCTGCCGTTAGAGTGGATAAATAACCGGGATCAATACCCTTTACGTGCTTTCTCGCTCCATCCGTCATGTTGAATTAGTGTTTCTTGCCGCCGACCAAAATAATTCCCAGCATGCAACGCACGCTTTTGTCAACAATGAAACTCGCCTATTCTGTGAAATATTCCAGGCGTTCAGTGACATCTCCATGGATAATAACAATTTTAATTATTATTTTTTTATTATTATTATTATACAGTGTTTGTAATGTAATGTAATTTTTTAAGCGATCACAATTAAAATGTGAATAGTACCACAGCTTGACCAGCCTGACCAGCCCGTCTCTTCTACATTCTGTGAGAATCCAGAAGGCCCCCGAATCAGATCAGAGTGTGAAAAACCTCCATCCTGACGAGGAACAGTCCAACCACAGCTGCTAATTTATGTCACGTCTCTCTCAAATGAGGAAGAAATGTCCTTCATTCAGAGCAAAATAAGGGTTTTGTGCTTCGCTTGTTGATTCTGCAGAAATCGGCGCTGTTTCTTTGGTAGTGTCCACACAACAATGTTTTTTGGTCGACACAGTAAAGTTTTTATTCGTTTTGTCCACATGGAGCCAGCATTTCGGGTGGGCGAAAACAGTGGTTATTGAAAATGGGTTCCAGAGTGGAGAAATCTGAGAACGCTGTTGTTGGGTTGACCTGTGGACAACCAAACCGCAGCTTTTGGAAAACGATGTCGTCGCCCCGTCATCGCCACGTGACCAGAAGAGAACCCTGGACTTTATGTACATGTGCTCTTTGTAGTATTGTGTGTCCAATGGCTCTGGCTGTATCCTGTTTACAGCGCCACATACAGGTGTGGCACAAGTATTACATCGTTTTGACTCAGTGCTCCGTTATCCTGTGGACGTGAATATTTATTGATCCAACACATGTGTGGACGCAAATTTTTTTCAAGCTGCAAAAAAAAAATAAAATAAAAAAATCCAGGAGCATTGTCATGTGGAAGTAGCTTTAGTCCTCTGTGTTATTTTCCCACTTTTCTTTATATCTGTTTTGGCATGAACGAACCTACTACGCTCTGATTGGTTAATCCACCTGTCAATCACACCCAACTTAAATCAACAGGATACTTGCCAACGTGTGTGGCTATGTAAACAGCTTATACATGTTTGAATATAAAACATAATTTCTTCTAGTGTTTGCTAAACTGTCCTTTTATTTTGCTGGCAGGTTAAAACGGCGTCAGGAGGAGGGTCCCTCTGAGGCGGGAGGCGACAGCGGCGAGGGAGAACCAGAGGCCGGAGCTACAGACGAAGACCTCCAGGACCCAGAGCCAGACCCAGAACCGGACCAGGACCAGGACCAGGACCCGGGACCTGAGACGTCGTCCAAACTGAGCATGTGCGGCTCGGTTTGCTCCTCCCCCGGCAGCTGCTAGCACCTCCTCCCGTCGCCATGGAGACCGGCTGCGTTTGTGCCATGTCTTTGATAAAACCTCAGTCGAACCAGGAGTCTACACTTACACACAGCTGCTCCTATACTTAGATCCAACTTTTCAACTTGTTATTAGTTTAATAGTTTTTACATTTTTGAAGATGTTTGTATGTGGTGACTGTTTATGGATGACATTTTAAAACGTTGGGCATATTGAAAGCAGTACAGTGTAAAGTTACCGTGCACCTTTGAGCAGATAAGCAAGTTCAAACATTACAAAAGGTTCTGGGTCCACAATGGACAGTCTTAAAACATCCACTTACAGGCCCAGGCCACTCAAATGAAGCTCCAGGTTTTATATTATGAATAGGATTTTTTTGGATGGACAAAATAGCGAGAAAAAAACAGGATCATGTAGAGCGAGTTAATATGAAAATTTTAAAACCAAAATGACGAGGCTCACAGCAGCACTTACAGAGAGAGGGGCCACAATATTCCAACGAAAATCAATGGGACCCAGGGTCAGAAGGAGCCCGAATAGTCGCATGCGAACTTCCTATTTGGAACGTGGTGGCCAGTGCTTTAGATATGTCCATTTATATTCACAGTCTATGGCAGGAACCAATTAGCCAGGCTGGCGCCAAAATTTCATTTTTCTCCAGCAACTAGGTCAGGAATCAGAATACACTAGACGGTTCGCAAAAACCCCGGAAGTTGTAGACTTCGCACCGGCCAATCAGTGAAGAGCTGCGACGCCATGACGTTAAACTCAAGCGCCTGTCTGGGTCCTTTTTGTGGTACAGCACAACAGTAAACAAAGCATCGAGATGGATGTAGACGAAGACAGACATGCTGTTCCGAGATCGAGAATTTAAAGCCGGAACAAAGAGAATGTTTGGTGAATTTTATCAAAGGGAAAGACGTTATTGCCCTTCTTCCTACGGGATTTGGCGCATTACATACATCATGACCAAATAGCAGCGATTCATTAAATTAAGAAAAGTACCCGTCTACCATCAAGCGAACAAATCCTAATGCTGAGAGGTCAGACGGTTTTCCACAGAGTGAAACCAACTGATGAATCAGGCTAAAAACCAATAGCCAATCCGGCAAATCTCTCTCTATCAGAGCTCCGTAAACTCATAAACTCATAGTGCATTGTTGTCAACTTTATGAGGCCATAACTAAAGAAATACAGTATATCCGGGGGCAGAAGTCTAAGCAGAGACTCCCAGACTTCCCTTAAGGCGCTCCCAGGAAGGTGTCCAGAACAGATACCACCTCAGCTGCTCCTCAGGCTCTACTCCTAGTGTCAGGACTTAGGTATTAAACACGTACCAGCTGGTTGAGACATTTGTACTTCATAAAAAAAAACAAAAAAACACACCAAACGGAGATATGTTTAAAAGTGTTTTTTACTGCTACTGCTTTTATGTCTCTCCAGGCTCGGTCTCCTCACTTTGACTATTCACTTTCAACAACCACCACATACAAACTCACTTAAAAACGATTTGTTTAATTTCCTTGTAGCATTTATTGGTACGACATAAGTGAACCATTCTTAAAACTCCCCTCTTTGCCCTGTCCATTAATCACTATAAGCTCTTTCTTCTATGCAATGTAACAGGATCGCATGATAAATATAAGACTACGGAAAGTCCGAAGGAGGCTGCAGTGCACAGACTACATGATGACACTGGGAGCAATAGCGTGTTTTTGGGATGTGTTTTGGAGGGATGCACCGTCCTCTCAGCCTTCTCGCTCCCTCCAAACCTAATGGGGACATCTGAATTATTCACGGAGCGACAAGAGGAGTGGTTGTTACGTCATTCTTCCCTTTGACGTGTTTTCTTCTAGCGCTATCCCTAATCTAAGTCTTTGCTTTGTCCTCTGGAGATTGTGGTGGCTGCTAACTTTAAACTCTCAAATGAACGTTGTTGTGGTACTTAGTGTTCTGTCTAATAGTAAATGGCAATCTGATGTTTCACCACTAGTTGGCACTAAAATCATTGAACAACGTAATAGCAGAGTGGTTAACAATTCACAGGAGCAGTATTTTTGGGGGACCTAAAGCAATTTCAGTTCAGTTTTATATTGTATTAGAAAATAAATCAGCTGTTAATGATACAAACTGATGATTGCAGGTTCACAAAAGGTTCTGAACGTTTCGGGTTCAACTCCCGGGTTAGGTTCTGTGCATGGGTTTTAGGGATGGGCATTCGATTAAATTTTCTTAATCGATCGTCGGGAGAATTAACGATCGATTATCGTTTTATCATTAATGTTGTTATACTACAATTATCATCATTATTATTACTATCTGCACTACTAATCTGCATAAATAAATTCAACTTTACGACATATAAACCGTAACGACTCTAGAGCCACATCAGCCCGTTTAACATTATAATGTGTTTAATGCAGATTTGCGCAACTCACAGAAACGAAACTTTAAACCGCATGGCAAATTTGCATAAACTAAACGAAGAAAAAAAAACAAACAGCTCTTGTGCGCTGATGTGGTTCAGCTTCTGTCGGACTAAAAGACATGACTCAGTGGAATACAGGTTAGTGTGACCATATTTGCGTTTGTCAAAACCAGGACACCGTACGGGGGGAGGGAGGTGGGGCCTCGTCATCGACATTGCGCTACTCTCACCTGGCAAAGATTTTTCATGTTTTCAGTGTCCTGGTGAGCTTTTCCCACTGGACACCGAAACGTATGTGCTGCTTTGTACACTGTGCACATGGACTCCCACTTGTCCCAACCAGAACGGAAAGCGTGGAATTTCTTGTACAAGTCATGCACGTTGCAGGCTGACCGACTGTTTGTGTCTGCTCGCTCCTTCTGAGTGCAGAGAGCTACATGTCCGGACCCTCGTTTGGTCACCCTACCCTACGCACAGCAACCTACATTCTAATTCTAATTCTCGATTAATCGACTAATCATGCCAATCCCTAATGGGTTTACATCAGTTTCCTTGGTTTCCCTTGTCAACACAAAACATGGACGACAGGTAAGATTTTCCAGATAAGTCCTGATCAAGATCCTGAAGATGGGCCCCTGAGCACTCCTAATCAAGTATACCTGGCCTTACTTTAATTGCTAAAGTGTTATTTTTGTTAATATTTTACTTTTATGATTGCCATTTACTATAGACACAGCAAAGGTGAGTTAAAAGAAATATTTAAGATGTGCCTGACGATAATCAGTGTTACCCGAGTCTGTGAACTGCCTTGTTTAAGTAAATGTTTTTTTTGTGTTCCAAATAATGTATGATATAAATGTACAGTGTTCTTAACATAGAATTGTCTTTTGGGTTCAAAAGGTACTGTAATGTACGGGGAAAAGCCTCCAGTCAGAGATATGTTAAAAAAGCTGCCAGGTGTAGTATACGAGGCCAATGCCATTCCACAAACATGTTACAAATAATTAGAGAGATTGTTTAAGTATTTTTGATCATCCTGTATCGCCGACTCCATCTTAAGTTTTTCTGGGGCTGTATTTGTAGCTGTTGGTACTTAATTGTAAAAAAAAAAAAAAAAAAACTATTACTGTCATAGTGATAGCAGTACAGTTAAAGGGCCCATATTACGCTATTTTCTGATCTATGTTATAATGTTGGTTTTGTTTCATTCACACATGTTTAACATATTTAGAATGTGTTCATCTCTCAAACAGAAAACACTCTGTTCCACCTTGTGATGTCATGTGGTGATACAGGAAGTGTACATACAACATACACCTACTCAGTGTTGGGGAGTAACAGATTACATGTACCGGAGTTACATAATCAGAGTACAAATTATGAGTAACTGTATTCAGTTACAGTTACTGTTTCAGTGAGTGGTAATTGGATTACAGTTACTTGGTTGAAATAAATGGATTAAACAGTGGTATGTTCCTGTTTTTACATTTTGGGCTAAACCAAGACTAAAACCAGGACTAAACCAGATCTAAACCAGGAATAAATCAGGTCTAAACAATATGACACTTAACATTAGGGTGGACTTACTTTAAGGCAGCAGTGATCTCATATAAAAATAATTTCTCTATCAATAATTACACTGCGGTATTTTCCTGTTTTCGCATTTTGGGCTATATCTTGATAATTTCACTCATTGCTGGAAAATAAACCAGGTTCTAAACCAGGACTAAAACAGGACTAAACCAGGACTAAAACAGGAATAAAACAGGTCTAAACCAGGACTAAAACAGGACTAAAACAGGTCGAAACCAGGACTAAAAGAGGACTAAAAACAGGTCTAAACTGGATCTAAACCAGGTCTAAGACAGGTCTAAAACAGGTCTAAAACAGGTCTAAAACCAGGTCTAAACCAGGACTAAAGCAGGACTAAAACCAGGTCTAAACTAGGACTAAACCAAGACTCAAACCAGGTCTAAACTAGATCTAAACCAGGTCTAAAACCAGGTCTATAACCAGGTCTATAACCAGGTCTAAAACCAGGAATAAAACAGGATTTTACAGGATTTAACAGGACTAAACCATGCTGCGTGGATGTGTCTCCTCGTCTTCTATCAATAACATTTTTAATACCGTTAAGTAAAGTCTGGGCTTTTTATTTTCTTTTAGCAGACAAAACTTCTTATATGAAGATCTCTGAGTCTTTGCTTCTCTACAGCAAATCAAGTAATCCAAAGTATTCAGATTACGTTACTCACCTTAAATAATTTAATGGATTACGTTACAAACTACATTTTGGGGTATGTAATCTGTAATCTGTAGGGGAATACATTTTAAAAGTAACCTTCCCAACACTGCACCCACTGAACAAAAGGTAAAATGGGCAGGTAAAACCACCACTAACAAGGTGGAACAGAGGCAAGGCAAGTTTATTTGTATAGCACAGTTCGCACACAAAGTAATTCAAAGTGCTTTACAGAAAGAGAAATACTCCGTGTTCAGTCCCTGAGCCCTTCAGAGTGTGAGATTGTTCATACGGCACTAACATGTCACAGATGTACTTCAGTGCTCGGCCATGTAGAGACTTGTACACAAGAAGAGCCACGTTAAAGTCTATTCTCTGAGCCACAGGGGTCAGTGCAGAGACCTGAGCACAGGACTTATGTGCTCGTGCTTCTTGGTTCGAGTCAGGATGCAAGCTGCAGCGTTCTGGATGTACTGCAGCGTCTCACAGCTTGTTTGGAGAGGCCATTGAGCACAGTGAGCAGGCCGTTACAGTCGTCTAACCTACTGGAGACAAACGCGTGCATAACTCTCTCCAAGTCTGCTTTAGACAGTAAACCAGCATGTAAACAGCATGTAAAGACTGAACAAAAAGGGGCCCAGGATCGACCCCTGGGGCACCCCACAGGTCAGGGCCACGTGATCTAAGACGCAGTTTCCAATTTCAGCAAAGTACTTCCTGTCTTCTAGGTAGGATTTGAATCTGTTTTGTGCAGTACCTCAAATGCCCTCCCAGTCCTCTAGTCTGTAAGAGGATCCAGTGATTGACAGTGTCAAAAGCAGCACTGAGATCTAACAGGATCAAGACCAAGACTTCGCCTGCATCAGTGTTCAGGCAGATGTTATTGTCACCTTGATAAGAGAAGTCTGAGTGCTGTGGTGGGCTCTAAAACCTGACTGGAAATCATCAATAATTTGGAGAAAGTGAGTTAGATGTTGATAAATAGAAAAAATGTGTTCAATACTGTGGCATCGAGACGGCTCTTCTTTAGGAAGTCTTAATATCTGCAGTTTTCAAAGCTCTTGGGAATGTTCCAGACTGAAGTGACATGTTAACTATGTGAGCAAGTGGTGAAAGCAGACTGTTGAGGACAAACTTTAGTAAGCTAGTGGATAACACGTCGAGGCAGCATGTGGATGAACTCAGACTGGTGATGATCTCTAACAGTTTTGTCACTTACAGGTGCAAAGTGACTCAGCTCTAAGTGTCTCTGTGGCTGCAGACTTGTTATTTTTCGTTGTGGAATTGATGGCATTTTTGGGCTTTGGGGATGTAGAAAGACTGTTAATAAAGGATTACTTAGACATGTGTGAATGAAACAAAACACAACTCTTAGTATGTTTTTTGCAGCATTATAACATGGCTAAAAGCTCACAAGTCAGTTGTGAGTAATATAGGACCTTTAAGGTG